CACGGCAGCTGCCTGCAAAGTGCTCCCTCCGCCTCGCTCTTGCCTACAGGCGTTCTCCAAAGCAAAAGCACAGTGAACAACAACACGGGTTCCAGGTTTGTTATCCTGAAGCGATTTCTAACTGCTCGTATGTCTTGCAAAAATGCTCGTCCCTCCTCGCACCTCCAAACGCGCTGCGCGCCAAGCTGAGTTCTGCCCTTCTCGTGCCTATCACCACCTGTATGCAAACTGTGTGGACCAAACTGGCTCGGTTACACCTGCATCTTCAAATTTTGATGGTCTCTAGCAAGATTCACGTAATTGTGCAGATGACTGTTGCTTAGCAAACCCAAGAAAAAACAGAATCCATGTCCTAGTAAGTACCTAAAAGAGGTATGATGCTTATGAGGCTTAATCACTACAAGTGTGCTATGTTTTACTGAATTACTTATATATGACTCTGAACATACAGAGGGAGCAGACACATTGAGTACAGAGCAACTACTTTTACATATTTACTTGGCAAGAGTATAAATTACACATTAGTGCAAAAAAAAGGTAAGACTTGATTGTGTCTCTTCTGCTTCTATTCCTCCTGCAAGACACTGAAAACATTGAAAAACAGGCTGGCCCTTGTGCTACAATAAGTGTGCAACCTATACATCTCAGCACTGTATCAATGCTCCTTAAATCAAAATCGTACACAGCACTACCTGTGAAGGTGTTTATCTGGTTGCTGAAGAGCATGCATAGAATCATTACAAACTGTGCTGAAATATCGGTTCAGTCAGGAACTTATATAGATACTACAGTATACAGAGTAACACTAGCTTTCTCCTGACAAGGCACTAACACTGTTGAGTAAAACCCACTATTGTGAAAAGGGCCAGCACCAGGTCTTTCTAACACTTACAGTGCATTTAAGCATTATTTTCATAGTATTAACAGTTCCCAGACCTTCCTTCCAAACTCTGGAACCTCACCCTGCGCTGTATGTCTGAGTCACCTTCTGTATATTCACGTTTTGCTTTGTCTGCTGTGAGAACGTGCATTCTGCTGGAATTCAATTCACCTATTCACTTTTGCGTAAAGCAACATTGCTACTGCAAATGCAAACCCAAATGTGCATTAAATTATCTGCATTATGAAACACTGCTGTCACTTTGTCATTTTAGGCAGTGGAGTGCTGTATGCTTGCTAATGACACAGCGTTTTAAAACTTATTAGGGCACAATAAAATTCACTTGCACTGACTAGCCCTTCTACACCTCTTTTTCTGACATGGTTCTGAATTTATCATCCTTTGAAACTATTTCAGAATTCATGCGAACTGTTTTTCATGCCCTGCTGGGCAAGACAGTTTGTAAGAGACTGTCAAAATAGATGGCTTACAGTTTATCCTTCAGATCATAAGAAAAGATAGACAGCTGGCTTTGTATCGTTATTGATGTCACCAATTAATATTATCTTAAGCACCACTGAAAATTATATAATTAACTTGCCAATTCAGGCAAACTTGAATTTCTCCACTTTTCCTTCAATTCCCTACATTGATTTATTTTAAGAAAAAATTGATCTCCAGGTTCCTCTACTAAATGTTGAAAGGTAATGAATTTAGGGAATCGGAGCCTATGAGCCAGCAAAGTGTCTTTTTATAGCAAGGTTGCTCACCCTTTGTAGAAAGCAAGTAATAATCCAACCGCTTCATTCACTTTTCAACAAAGATGAGCCCTTTAGGAGGTACAACTCACAAATTCTTTGGAAGTTATAATAGAAAATGCGTAAATTTTTAATAAAAAAACACTATTATGTATTTTGAAGACTTGTGGTGTTCACAGAGAAGTCAACCTAGAGTCACTTAAAGCAAGAAAGTAGATAATACTAGATGGGGGATATGATTTGCATAAAATCTATTCATATTGCTCTGACACAAGAAAATATACGCACTTTCAGGTCCCTTTATAGCCAGAGTGATATACAAGCAGGTATAAATGAAAACTATGTCTTTTAATTTCCTACTTTTGGGAAATGAAAACAATATGATGGTGGCTTGTGAATCTGTAAAAGTAGCAAGATCCACTGCATATCTTTTCCCAGTCAGATCTACTAAGATACACTACTGCAAACCTTGTTTACGTACAAATTTCTTTCAAGGAGACTGCTAAGATTCAATCCAGCCCCAAAAGATTATCAAAATCTTTATACTTGTAGATAACCTATTTGTAGGATATATTATCTTAATATGGGATTGTACCGGTCTGCTGGGGTGAAGTTAATTGTCTTCATAGCAGCTCATGTGGTCTTGTGGTTTAGATTTGTGACCAAAGCAGGGTTGGTAACACACTGATGTTTTAGCTCTTGCTGAACAGTGGTTGCACAGTGTCAAGCCCTTAGTTGTTTCTCACTCTGCCCCCACAATGCATGGGCTGGGGGGTATGCAAGAGGCTGGGAGGTGACACAACCAGGCAGATGACCTGAACAAACCGAAGAGATACTCCATGCCATATAACAACATGCTCAGCAATGGAAAGGGAGAGAAGGGAGTTTACGGGGTTAGTCATCTTTTGCTCAGGGACTGGCTGGGCATCAGTCTACCCATGAAGGGTGCTCAGTGATTACCTTTGCATCACTTCTTTTGTTTTGTTTTCTTTCTCTCTTCTTCCATTTCTTCACTTATTACACAATTTTTATCTCGACTCAAAAGCTTTCTTGCTTTTACTCGTTCTTTTCCTCTGCCCCACTAAGAGTCAGGGAGAGGTGAAAGAGGGGCTGTGTGGTGCTTAGCTCCCTACCAGGGTTAACCCATAGCAAGGATGATTCCTAAGTCTCACCAATTTTTAGAGAAATCTGCAACCCTTCTGTTTTGAATCATGGTAAACCGAAAGGCTTTGTCAGACATACATGTTTACACAGGGGACGTAGGAGTGAAGCAATAACCTTCACAACAGCAATCCTCATGTAGAAGATTAATGAGATCTGGTAGGTGGAAGGCCAAGGCTGCAACCTAACTCTTTGCTTGTGAGTGCAGGGAATACCTTATATATGCCTTATTCTCTGCGGCACATCTATTTCTTAGAAGCTGGCACCTGAAGGTTAGATTTACATTGCTTTTCGTATTCAATATTCCAGATTAATAATACTGCTTAGCTGTTAAAGAGGGTAGCAATACGTTGCACTGTGCAGGTGTGATTTATTTAGCAATTCTGACATGCTTATAGTGCAGGAATTCACTACAAGACTTTATGAACCACACAAGGTTAGCAGCAGTGAGGGGTAATGCCAAGAAACACTCCATCCTCCAGTAGCACCATTTATGATGGAAGTGACTATCCTTTGCATCCTGAGTTAGCATGTAGCTCTCAACTCCCAGGATGACAATGGTCCCTATGCTGCAGTTGCTGCAACCTTCCATTTGAAGAGAAAAAAAACAGAGAAACTTTAAGAAATTAAAGGTCTTAGTGCCAGCATTCTGTGTAGCTATAAGCATTTCAATTGCATTTTCTCCATGTAAAGAGGTTTCCCTATAATCTCCCATTAATGAATATTTTTTTTCCCTTCCTCCCTTAACTAACATGTGTATACACACATCAAAGAGCTTCACTGCAGTTCAGTGATGGATTAGGTGAAGGCTGCTCAATGACAGATGCATGTTTCTAAGGCACCAGTTCCTTTTTCAGAAGCAGTTCAGGTATCCAGGGGTGTATCTGCAGCGTGGAACTACGTGCAAGAGTCTAGCATACGTTCATCACTGCTGTTTAGAAACTCCTTGCTCTACCCACCGACCCTTGGATTTTTTCAGGACTTAAATTTCCAGAGGAATTTGGTGCTACATATGGAAAGCTTTACTGCTCTGCCACCCTCTTAAACTCCCAACACTCAGGTCCTCAGGTTTCCTGTACCATTAAGAAAGGTATGCAGGTATGCAGGACGGCTCTCAGAGCAACCAGTGCGCCGTATGCCCCAAGCAGCATACAGAAAAGCATCTGCATGAGCAAAATATGGCGTAAGACCTGCCTCCTGCCTCTTTCAAGATCATATACAGACAAACTAGACTTTTCAAAGCATTAGGTGCTTTTGGAAATGTTACAGCTAGATCCACAAACTGGTTTGTACATGTATGATGCATTAAGCACCTTCTGAATATGAAGCATCATATGAATTAAATATGCTTTTACATGCACAGAGAAGGTGGTAGGAGGCTGTAAGTGGAGGTTTTCCAGTTTGCTCACTGCTGTGGAAAAACTCCTCTATACTTTATTAAATACACCCTATGCAGTGCCCAGTTCTGCCGGCTCCCTGATTTACCCAAGGGTGCATGTGGCTGCAAGGGGAATGGGAGGGACCTGCCAAGCACTGTCACCTCCCCAGCTGTGGGCTCTGTGCACTGAGCCATGTGGTCCTAGTATCGGTCCCATACCAGGGCTTCTCTTCACCCACCAGTCCATGGCTCTTATTTGTATGATTATGCCCAATCCTGTCTATAGAATATGTTTCATCACACAGTTATCCAAACTCCTACCATAACACCCCATAAAGTGAGACATAGAGCCATATTCTTCCTTCCTTCCTTGTATTTTACATTAACCATCTTGACTGACAGCTAATACCTAAAATGCCTTGACCTAAGTTCTTCAGCTACTTCACTTAAGTAACCTTCACCTTTTTGTGCTTCTAACTTTCTCCTGTTTGTCATCCTCACTTGTCAAATTATGTCTAATGTTGATTGTGAACAGCATGGTGGTGTATTTTTATGTACTCTACAAAATGCTTAGTACAGTACCAGAACTCAGAAATAGCCTATTTATAGAATATTTATCAGCACAGCATTTAATATCATAAGCTCTACAGTTTACTTCACTGTCATATATATAAAAACCAGAAATATTGAAACACCCACTATGATAGGTGAATTGGTTATAATTCCTTGCAAAGCACATGCATGGAAGATCAATCTCTGATCAGATGATTGTAAAAAATTTAGGAGTCACATGAAACCATATGAGTAATTCTTTCTTTTTGCTTCACAAATCAAAATCTATTCCTCTGGGACAAACTCTATGTCACCATGCATAATTTTGCCTTTTTACAAAATTATTTTTAAATATGATTTTTTTAAAAAAAGAAATACTAATAGTTGGTTACCCCAACATGTGATCAATATTCTCCTATTCAGATTTTTGTATATCTCTATTTCTGCCCCCAAAAAACACCAGTATTTTTGCCGTACTTTCTGTATTCTTTAGGTGCTGGAGAAAATGAATTTCCTCCCTTTATCTAACCAAAGAGCTGCAATAAATGTACAAGTCTCCCACATCCCTCTTAGGATCATCCCTCATCCCAAGTTGACTAACCCTGTCTTGAATGGACCATTCCAGTAGTGGGGAATGTAATCTCTAAGTTCATTTGATATTGAGTCTTTCTCTTGTGACCTGTCTACCAGGAATTTTGCTGACAATACCAATTTATTTCACTTAAGACAATGATTAGTCAGCAGTCAGGGAAAATTTTCAATCACTGCAATGTGGTTTGAATTGAACTTTGCTTGACTCTTGACTCCTGCTGAGAATTATGTAGGGTACAAAATATTCAGATTGGTACAATCAAGTTAAAAAAAAAGCCGGGAACTGGACATTTCTTGCTTTTGGATGCAGTGGAGAAAAAACACCAGCAGGGAAACAGAGTTCAGAGCAAGGTTTGCAAGGGACTGTTATAAATGTTATGGGTGGAAAAATATTTTAAAGTTATGAACAAATCCTTGGCAATGTCCTTTATAAAATGTTTCTGAGTAGTCAAGTGTGCAAGATAAAGCTGCACAGGTTGATTGAACTAGTACAACCAGCAATTGTGAAATGAATAATCCAAAGGCTTGCTGACCTTGGCAGCATTACAGAAGCAATCTTTACATAAGAATGAAGTGTTCTTAGATTATTTCTCCCAATATATTATATTTCAAACATACTTTTACTTCACCTTTGCAAAGAGCTTTGAAATTCCCAGGTGAAAAGTGCTATGTCCAGTTACAAGAATAAAGTATGAAAATATATGCATCTCTTTGTCCCAGCTATTACTTTTCTTGAACATACATATTTACTGCTGATAATGCAAAGTAAATCCCATTGCCCTCATGCAAGATAGTTAAGGTCTGTTACATCCTCTGGACATCAGCCAGGGCTCTCCAAATTACCATAGTCTTTTAATATGGGCGTCTCGCTTGCTTTTAAAATAAAATTAGAGCATTCATTTCCTAGGAAGGTGGTGAGAAAGTAGTGGAAGAATACTGAAGTCTGAAACAAAGATGCTAACTCCCATGCCAAACCAAACCTCCTTTGCTTATGGGGACTGTGTAAGCCTCCTTAGTCCAAGTTTGCAGAATTAGGGCTTGAAGTGATTCAGATTAATTACAAGGAAAACAGGAGCTGCCAGCATAGGGGGAAAAAGGATGCCATGGCATTCAAAATGGCAATATTCACAAAAATATGCTGATCATCATCTGAGGCACTGAGCAAGCCAAAGATCTCTGGGGCAGAAAGTATTTAAAAGCCCCCAAAACCCCTCCTTAGTCTTTGTGGAACAAAAAGGGAACCAATATGCGGAAAGACAGACACAGTGCACATGGTCTGAGTTTCAAAGGATTTTAAGAAGATAAACTTTTGTTTATCATCATTGCCATAAAGGAGTCCAAGGCTCCAGGATGAAAGTCAAACCGTTCTCCAAGCTGACTACCCTACGTATCTGTGCACATTTCATGCACCAGTTCAGTATTTCCACTCTGACGACACCCACGTTACAAGATAGATGTTACAAGCCACTTCATATATAAGGTGGCTTAAACCATTACATTCCCTACTCTCACCACGTGTAATCTAAAATTACTGGTAAACTAGAGTGGAGACTGGATTCTGTTTACCTAATTTTCACTATGTCTAAGAACTACCAATACTGATTACGAGAACCAAATTAAAGAGATTTATTTAAAAATCTGAAAGCAATTCACCTATATATGTCCATTCTTCGTTTTTAACAGAGGGAATATTGAGTAGCTAAATTAAATGCTAGTAGTTCAATGTGGAGAGACACAGTACACATCCCTATTCTTAACTGTTTCTTTCCCTGCCATTACTTCTTTTTCATTCCTTTCCACTTCCTTGAGGCAGGCTCGATTTTCTTGCTATTTACCTAAACCCTGAGAGCTCCCGATCTGAGGCAACGAGCAACAGGTTTTTTACAACTAGTTCTAAGGTAACAGCACTCAGAAAGCACTGTTTTGAAACAAAACAATCCACGTGTTTTCAAAAACTGCTTCACTGGACTACAAAGCGCCTGAACCCTTGCATTCCTTGCAGCACAGATCACCTGAAGGTCAGTCTGCTGCTCTACAGCTAGATCTAAGCTTTCAGCAAGGGAATTTCCTCTCCCTCCAGCAATCCAACGCGGAGCACAATTGGCAGTTTTACGCCTTTCTGTAGCAATAATTTTATCCTTACACATTCATATGCATGATTCCCTCCATTTAAAGAAGCCTAAGAATGTGCTCCACTGGGAGTGGTGACATGGAGATGACAACAGTGAGGAGAAGTAGCTGGCTGATTCAAGGCCAGGTACCAGTAAAAGCCATTCTCACTAGAATGTTTAGTCTTCTGAAGACATGTAGAAATCATACCTGCTCATTCTTGTAAAGTATATAAAAAATTCTCTTTGCTCTCTCCCTACCATGCTCATAAGAACAGCAATTTTAAAGAAAAAGCAATATAGATATGGATGCAATGGGTGAAATCCAGATTGGCCTTTTCACACCAGTAGAATCCACAGAAGTAAATGAGAAGCAGGATTTCACCCCATATTTTTTGATACTGTCCTCATCAGTAACATGATTGTGGCTTTATAATGTAAAATAAGATTCCAATAAAATATTAAGAATGCAGTCATCAAAATACAAAAAAGTTACATTATGATTCATTAAAATTATGTTAAGTAAAAACCGTAGCATCTTATACAGCAATTTTTTTACTCATGTTGAAGATTTCCACAATATACTGCATTCACACGTGGCACACATACGTACACACATTCCCACACAGTATACTGTGTGCGTTCAAATGCATAAGTAAAACTTGCTGGAGTCTTAAAAAATGACCATCTGCTACATGCACCATATTTTGGTATCTCTGTATAGATGCTCTAGGTATGTACCATTGTTTCAATATTCAATTCTTTATCCATTAACCTGGCCAGACCATCTGGACACCTTAATGAATCTATTAATGAATATCAATCCTCTAATCAGCACATGAAATCTCATAGGTACTCACCCTGCAAACTGGGCACTGCCAGTGACTACTGCTGTCTCTAAGCCTGAACTCATCAGACAAACACTTGGAATGATACACACGAAAACACAGGTCACATATCAACACCTCTCCAGGCAAATGGCATTCAAAACAATACCAGTCATGATTTTCTGTTTCCCAGTCCTACAAAAAATACAAAATATTTTGGTATGACATTCTGTCAAAATCTGCAGGAACTAAGAACAAAATTGATATGTCTTGAAATCCAGCAGCAATTAGACATTATAAACATTTTAAGAAGTGTATAATGTTTAAAAAACAGGGGAAAACCTACACACTTCATCCATTTAATACACACTAACTCCAATAAAATATGAATGCCAAGTTTTAGTTTTTTCAAGTGTCTGATTAGTAACAATTTCAAATATGAGCTCTGTCCACAATGAAAAGTGGGTTTGTTTTCTACCTTTGTGTAAAACACTTGTTGATCTCTCTGTATCAGACTACAAACAAAAGTTTGTGCACCTCAACAGACCATACCTACTTCCTTGGACTATTTCCTCTCGCTTTGATTGTTACAGTGTATTTTCAACTGTAATTTTCTGAAGGGCAGTCCCTTCCAGTCTTTACTCTCTTAAAACTGGCAACTTTTCAGTATCAAAGTGTTGAGTTGCAAACAATAAATGAAATCATGAACCTATTGCTGCAAGAAATGTTTCTGCTAAGCAATCCCAATGCAATTCAAAAAATAGAAAATGTTTCTCTTGCAGTGCCCAACAGCACTACGCTTACTCCTGAAACGTTCTACAGAAAACAAAGGATATGGTTCTGCTGATGCACAGATGTCTTTAATACACTCTTCCTTGAAAATTCAGCCCCAACGGCCAAATTCTGACCTTTGAAACATGTGCATAAGCTTTGCTGAAGTAAATGAGAGCAGCATGCATATAATTTGGAGGCAGAATTTTGCTGTAGGAATCTATAGTACTAAAACCAGACAGAATTGCCAGTGGCCACCGTTATATGTTTATGTTTGTTATCTGAAATGCCACACTTCTCCCTACATTTAGAAGACAAAATAGCTGTCATTTCTCAGATAAAACTCCCAATGCCTCTTCTTGTCAAATGTCACTTTTCAATGGGTTCAGATCTCTGAAAAAATTACTCCTATTCTTCCATAAATTATCTTGATAAAAATCTGATCAAGCTATTTTTAATGTCATGTTGTAAAGTGGGGTTAGCAATTCTCACCAACCGCCAGAACTGGCATTTGTCCGAATCTCATTTTCCCATGCCTGGGAACTAGTCATTTAAGTCCTTGTGCGAGAGGTCTCCTCCAGTGGAGCAGCGTAAGAAGTGCTACACAGAAGCGGCACTTCCAGTCCCTCATGCTGAAGAGCAGCCATGTTGTGTACCTAATTCATCTGACCAGAGCCCTCTTGAACGTAAGAGATTTAGGGACAGTCTCAACCCAGAGTGCCTACACTAAAGTTTATATACCGTGAATGCTGGACTGCAGAGGCAACAAGCTTAGGGGAAAAAAACCCCAACCAACCACTAACCAAAGATTTTTGAACTCAGAACTTTGCCCTCCTTTGGTGTTCAGATTAACAGCGTAGCTTGACTCTTCTATCATTTCTCCTCCTTTAATTTTACTTGCCAATTCTGTGTATCTCAGAATGATATAATACTTCTACCAAATTTGGCTGTAAAGAACACAGTCTCATTGCACCAAATCTTTCCCCTTCCAGAGTCCAGCAGCAGTGCACTTTGGGAGCCCCTACTTTATGATATTTTCGGAACAACTAAAGATACTGCATTGTTGATGTACTTGATTTGCTTTGTAGACTAAGAAAAATCAGGATATCTTATTGATTTATATTTCTTTCATATCAAGTGTAATACTTATCTTCTTTATGAAACTAAATAAAATAATCAGATGGCAGTAAAGGGCCAATTATGCAAGAAAAAGAGTCAGTTTTGATCGAAGACCTCTCCAGATAAAAATCAAACTGAGAAGATCCCAACAGGTCCTGGCTACTGAGGAATTTCACCAGAGAATCAGGATTCCAGGATTCTTAATTTTTATTCATACTAGTTACTTATCGGTATATCCCAGATATTCCATTGTTAGGAAATATGCTGGCAAAGACATGTAGAATTTCATAAACATACGGAAATATACTTGCTGGCAAGAAAAATCATACACTCAAGCCAGAAACCATAACGTTATATAAAACACCAGAAGAAGCTTCATTCAGTACTCACACTGTAAAGTTTTGAAAACACCATTATTTCTAAATATAATCACCCAGGTTTTTCACAGAAAAGATTTTTAGTTTAATGCAGTATATTTAGTGCGTAAGTATATATAAACATTCGTTTATGCAATATATTTGAAAAGTTAATAAAGAAAATAAAAAAAGTATTGTGAACAACTACACTATTGAGTTCAATAGCAAGGTCAGAGGCATTAATTTTGCTCCAACAGCAATGAAATGTTATTGCTTCTCTTGGTTTGCATAAGGTTGAATGGGAGGAGAATGTGCTCCCAACACTTTTTTTTTTTTTTTAACGCAGGAGATCAGATTCATTTAAATTACTCCAAGTCTGACTGTCAGTGCTCGGGGTAGGACAGGTCAAAATTCTCCGCCAGCTGCAAACACGCTAAAGTCTGCATTTACAGAACGCACCACCAGGTGTCACCAGCCACTCCGGGAAGGACTGATGAAAGGGCAACCATCCTGACAACAACCGTAACGTGGGAGTAACCACTTCCAGCCCCCAGGAGAGAGAAAAAATCATCAAACTACATACATACATAATGCAGACTAAACTCAGAATTGGAAGTGATATGGATGATGGTGGTGGTTAATATAGTAAACTAAGCTATCCTAATGGAAGACAGAAACGTAATAGAAAATATGACAGAATTCAAAACCACATAGTGCAAAAATTGTTCACCTTGTTTTTTGCTGCTGTCTGGGAAAAAGGCTGCATACCGTAGGCCTTTCAAAATAAAAACAAAACAAACTTTGTATCTATACTGTAAGCCATCCGATTATCAGGATATACACAAGGCTAGAAAGAATTCATGCACAGTGACCAGGAAATCAATCTGTTATTTCTAATACCTGGTTGCATACATTTATTTCCTCCGGCATTTCTGGAATGCTACCTAATGCTTTCACCACGTTCTGTTTCCTTAAAATATCCCATGTATTTATATCATTAACAGAACCCAACACCCATCTTCTTCCCCATATATACACCCACCACCAGGCCAACTTAAAAATCATCAAGAATATTAATGATTGTCATTTAATGCACTCTCTTTGACAAAGACAGAAACCTTCTTTGAGTATCTAAAAAAGATCCCCGTAAGGTTATTTACTGCATAGGGAGTGGCCCCACCAAAATCAAAGCAACACATTCTTTGCTGCATATTATCAAAGATTAAGCTATCACTTTATCAATAAAACTCACAGTCCTTATTTGTGTATAAAAGGCGATACATTTTCCCGGGGCCACGCGGAATGAAGGCAGGATCTCCGCCACAGGGACTCAGTTTGCCAATATCCTCGTTTCCTGACGCAGGGCAGGGAAAGCCTCTTGGGTCACCGCGCTGGCAGACGAAGGGAATCCTCCGCCAGCAGCGCCCGGCTGCCCAAGTTCAGCAGTTCAGCAGCACCCAGTGACTGGCCACAACCCCCAAGAGGGAGCGGATTTGGCAGCAAAGCTGCACAGCTCGGATGTAACAGGAGGCCTTCCCCCTTCATTCTACGCAGCTGCCCGCTGCATGAGATCTATGCACCAGCAGGGCAGCAAACGTCGTTTGGGGGATTGTATTTAATAGCCAAAGAGCTATATGCTCTGTTAAGCAGAGTGGGATCTTGCAGTGATATGGGCCACTTGTGGTCACTTGTTCTTTATATTCAAATCAGCCAAACATTATATCATAAAGGTCACTTTGCACTGACATAAATAGTTGAGATTTCTCAGCAACATGAATGAAACAATGCAACAATTTCAAAAACACAGCGTAATTTATGACCAGCATGTAAGCTTACTTTTTTGTGATTTGTCTTAAGTAGGTTGTCTTAAAGCAAATACACAAATTTATTCTGGAAGTACAGGAAAATAACATGGGACAGAAAACGTCAGGCTATCCAGAACATTTGACAATTTAAATACAGATAAACCCAACAGAAAGGAATGAATCATCATGTCATAGCCTTTACTGTAGAATAAAATATATAGCTGTTGTCAAGGAAAGAATAATTTTAGTGCATAAAGAAAATGTCCATTATAATGCAAATGTACGTGGAAAAGAAATGCTTACTCATTAGTAATGGAGATTTACTTAGCTGTAATTGAAATAGGGAATCTGTATGTTGGAGAATGTGACATCCTGCTGTACAATTAGCATATCATTAAGTAGGAGATGTGAAGCACATATTGACAATAAAATTAACAATAACTTAGAGGTCAAAATTGTAACTATTAGGTCACTTCCATACCTTAGCAAGCCCATGATTATTGTAAAAAAAGACGTAAAAACAACTAGTAAATTTTTATTTTCCTATAAATTATATGTAGGCATAGCACATGAAAACAATATAACCTCCTTTCTTAGACTTTGCCTAGAAGGACCATTTTGCCTTTTTATAATGCATATTCCATTAACATAGCTCATTTCTTACCTGTTAATCTGTTTTCTCCAGGTCCCTTAATGGTAGCCCAGATACTCGGTATTAAGTCACTCTACTATCAGGTGGAGAGAGGAAAAGGGAGAGGGAAAAAAGGCAAAACTCTATTCATGAAACTCCCTTTTATGGGGATTTGCTGGTTTCACACTGTTGAACTACATTTCCCAAACCATCCAAATTATGGATATCCTTTGGACCCAACCAGTAAGCTAAAAAAAAAAAAAGGGTCACATAGATGGGAAAAACAATTATAAGTCAGTTATCTCTTTGGTGCAATCATGTTTATTTATGAATAGTATACATACAGTTTTGTTGTCCTAAATTCAGTATGACGCAAAAGAAGGAAAGCATTTTCCATGGAGCTCACGGTTCCCAGCATTTCCTGTGTGGCTGTTGTTGGTAGTCCATGGCACTCTCTGGACTTTTTTTTTCCCCAGGTGTTCTGTTTCAAGTTATTCTCCAGAGTTTTTTTGC